ACTATTCTTTTTTAATTATTCTTTTTTACTTGTTTCAGGGATTTCAAATCATTTTATATAGTAGACAATGGAAGTCCGAACTAGTGAAATTCATCACGAAACATTGTCAATCACCTTCAAACAAACGTAGTATAGCCCAAGTTGGGCTATCGAGTACTCTACACTCTGACAAAAACATTTGAGATGCCTCTGTTCTGTAAAATGAAGGTTGTGCTTCTTCGTTTTCGGAAAGGCACATTAAACTGTTTTGAGTCCTCAACGCTTTAACTTTGCCATAAGAAATCATACTCGACATCAACAGTTTTATTCACAGTATCATTGAATACACTGTCCACTTGTGTTTTTTGTCGTCATTACAAAATTATATGGGTTTCATATTCACTATTTGGTCTCATCTGGTAAGTTGATAATCCAAACTCCTCCAACTTTGTTAACCTCAATGTATGACTTTCTTCCGTTGATTACAGCTGAAAAAGAATTGAGGAGACCAAAACTGAAAGAGGGACTAAAGGATCAAACCATCGTGAAGAAAAATTCCGTCACATTCAAAGCTGTTGTGGTTGGAGATCCAGTTCCCGAAGTCACCTGGTAATGATTTGAAGTCATTGACGACCAACTTTTTTATTTATTGTTATCGTTCCAGGTGTAGAGATGGTAACGAAATATCGAACGATGAATTCGAGCAGAGTAAAATGATACTGGAAACTGAAGACCATGAAATAGAAGACGGACTCAATGAGTGTTCCTATTCTTTGACGATTCCAAGATGTGAGTTGAAAGTTTTTCGAAAGTGTAGCATTATTTTATCATATATTTCTGAGGGGAATTTCACAATCAATCAATTACACTTTTTTTCCATTCAACATTTGATTATCATAAAAAAATTATACATAAAAAACATTTTCCCCAAGTCAGTTTCAAAAATATTATTTTTGAGAAAAAAAGTTTTTGGCTTTCTACTACTCCATCTCGATACAAAAAAAAACGAGGGAGTCTTTCAAAGAAAGGAGGGATGTGTAGATCATGCAAAGAAGTAAATTTCAGACACAAACTGGAAGAATGTGCCCCTGAAACAGCTACTTTCATATAAACATTGAATTACACGAAAGAAAAAAATTTTTTTCGAAACAAATACTTCTATATGAACACTGAAATATACAGAAGATACTTTTCTCCCAGTTTTAATTTCAAACATTCATTGTGGAATAAAATCAGATATCATTCACATGAGTTCAACTTTAAATAAATGGTAACAAATTGCACTTACATGGAACACTGTCATCCTCACTGGTATACATCGATGTTTCGCCTTAAGACACTTGCCCCAAGGCTCTTCAGTACCAAATTGGATAACATTATAGAAAATACACACAATTCATTCATGAATTACGATTTTCAACCTATTTGATTTAATCTCAGCCAAGAGGAATCTTACTTGAATTGAAGGGGTTATATTTTTAGGATTGATTAATTTTTGGAAAAGAACGTTTTTTGGATTACTACTACTTCATCTTTTCTTTTTTTTTTGTATCAAGGTGGAGTAGTAGAAAGCCAAAAACTTTCTTTCCCAAAAATTAATCACTCCCAAAAATATAACCCCTTCAATTCAAACTATTCTTGACTATGTTATGTTAGGGTAGGTCCAAAGTGAATGGATCTATTCGACCCTCCACCGCAACCCGCAAGGAATTATTGTGGCTCACACCTATTCACACTCGATCAAATGAACCCAGCTTCTTAACTAACCCGATCAGTTTGTATGGTGAGTGGTCTTTTAGGCGGGGCAGCACAAAGTATATGCTCTGCTGTTTCATCGTCAATGAGGTAGTCGGAGAGTCAAAGTGCAAGATTCCCACCTTGATACCTGCAGAAACCTTCCCATATGAGGGTTGTAGCACGCTAAATACACCTGAAGATGCCTCAGATTCAACCGTGCAGGGCTTTTTCTCCTCTGGTTTTGATGAATCATCACTTGAGCGCAAAAGTTTGCTAACCTGCCCATGGAGGGGGTTTGTTCCTCCACTTGGGACAGATTCTGCGTACGCCGCTCAAGAATTTGGTGCAAGACGGTTTCATAAGGTACCCCGCTCTTGAGGAGACGACTCAGCCGTTTCCTGGCTGCACCACCAAACCATTTTTTTAGGTACAGTTACAGTTTACAGGGAGGTCAGTTGGAGTCGTAAGCTCGACATTCATCTCCTCTGTAGACTCGCTCCTGATCTGAATTTACAGGGAGGTCAGTTGGAGTCGTAAGCTCGACATCCATCTCCTCTTTACACTCAGCGTCAGAAAGAAGTTTTAGTTTACTCTGTCCATAAAAGTCCCACGAGTAGATAAGGAAAGAAGGTCAATCACGGCAGAGCTCCGCATTACCGTGGCAGGGCGATGCTACGACGAGAGGGCGTGCGGTATCTATCTCAATGTCATTCATTAGCTCGGCAGGGAAACACACAACTCAGGATCAAGCCATCGTTGGAATGGTATTCCGTTAGGGAATAATGGAACTACAAGTGATTCTGTCATTCCCGTATCCAGCGGGGCTACGTGGAAGCAAGCAAAGATGACCGGTTTGCTCAACCCCCACATCCCAAGGCAATGCACTCGCCAAAAACAACATGTGCAGTAGCTCATGCAGTGGAAGATGAACAAGGACAGCTAACCCGCCGATTCTTGACTATAATCTCTGTAATAACTTCTGCAATAGTTTCTATGGTAATTCCTATAGTGATTTCAATAGGAATTTCCACAGAAATGGCTACAAGATTTTGTAATTTCACTAGAAACATACCAATTTAGTTCTTCAGATATACTTGTATTTATGATGATTTTTTTTTTCAATACTCAACCACGATATTTTCCCATATCGACTAAAATAATTTATTATTTTACTTGAAGGTGACCCCTCTAATAGCGGCAAATACACGATAAAGGCCAAGAACAAATGGGGCCAATGCGACAGCAGCGCCAAACTCACCATAGTAATGCGCCCTGAGATAGAAGGTCCGGAAGACTCCAGAGTAGTACCCGGAGAAGCCACCGAATTCACTGTTATCGTCCACGCCAATCCGGAACCACAAGTTTTCTGGAGCAAAGACGGGGAGGTCGTGGAAACTAACGACCTCATCAAGATAGTAGAAGATAAGGCCAACAAGACGTACAAGCTGATCTTCCATAAGGTCATGTTAGCAGATGAAGGTTACTACAAGGTCACGGCGAAGAACGAGCTGGGGGAGAACAGTTCGGAGGCACGACTGAAGACGATCAGTAAGTATCCGAAACGGGGTTCTTCCACTTTGTACATGACGTTGTATTCTGTTGACAATGTAACATATTTTTTTACAAACTGGAAAATTATTGAATCAAAGACAACTCAACTTATTCCATTCTTACATTTATAGAAAACTCTAGGGAGAAACCTCTGCCAGTGAACTAAATGAAAAATCAATTACAAAAAAAGTATAAAGCATAAAGAATTTGGTGGAAAATCAATAGCCATTAACAAAAGAATTGTAACTCAATTAATATTAATCCTACCCCATATTATGGGGTAAAAGAGCCACTGAAGGGCATCGGAAGTCAACATTCCAATTCATCATATGCTTTATCATTTTGAGGCTAATGAAATTGAGCTTTCATTCAAAGTGGTGAATGAAAAAAATCAACAACAAAATAGTTTTAACTGCCTCCAATAGTACTGAACAAATTAGTTTACTTGGATTAGGATTGGATTCAGTAGATGAGCAAGGCGGATTCTGTGACACCGGAAATTCAACTAACAGAAGCAAGGTATAACGGTCGAAAACACGCGCAAAACGATCGAAAACACAAGAAAACCGATCGAAGACGCACTCAAAACGATCGAAGACGTACGCAAAACGATCGTAGACGCACGCAAAACGATCGAAGATGCACGCAAAACGATCAAAAACGCACGAAAAAGGGTCGAAAAAGAAGCGAACGCGTGCGTCTTTCTTCTTATGATGAATATAATGCATTTGCATCAATGTAGGATGAAAAAATAGTAAATCGCGTAATAAGGCCGAAAAATACTGTTTTTCGAAAGAAAAGACAAAATTCTAAGTCTGTGATCCCAAAAATATGTTTTCGGGCGAGTTATGTACACTTGCATTAGAGAAACGTGTAGACTAACGAATCAATGAAACACTTATTATATTTTTTCGTAGAAAAAATGTCGAAAGTTTTAATTCTCATTTGTATTAAATATTGAAATCCGAACAGAAGATAGATACTAACAGAAATATTCCAATTCTTTTTCTTGGTATATTCAAATGCATTTTGTTGAAGTCAGAACAAGGTGAGGTTTCCATTCCACATTGATTTTTGTCAGGTTCGAATGGTCTTGGCAATTTCAATTTTGTTTGTAAGTGAATACTCTGTATATCCTTCAGCGACATTGGTAGACCTTCAGCCACCGTGTCTCTGTCATTATCAGCAAATAACGTGCCTAAAGTTCGCCAATGCTATGGCCTGAGTTATTTTTAGGATTGGGTTCATTTAAAAATTCTGCGATTCTCAATCCAAGATTCCCAAAACTGTGGATGCCAACAGGCTGAATCGAATATGTAGAGTATGTTATCACTGTAAAGATAAATTTTGTCTATAAAACAACAGATTTTCTTTTCCAGTTTCAACAAAAGTTCTCTCAATATGTGTTCTAGAATCTAGTATTTTTACAAGCAACGTGTCTTCCTTGTCGTTCGTTTATAAGATACATTGACATTTTTGTTGGTTCTTTCCGCAATGGCTAACCCAATAATGGTTGCTACCTGAAAGTGAAGCAAATTGAGCGGATACTTCCTTTCGAGAAATGCAATAACCTTTTTTTTTTCACAAAAATGGAAAGTACTATTCAACATAGAGTACAATCTCCATAATATGGAGGATTTGACTATTCCAGATTTTTGCACAAAATAACCAAACTTACATTGTCTGTAATAGTTCGGCTTTTCTTCTACAGCAATATCTGCTGCATCAGAAATTTCGTGTGGCACATTTTCAAACTCATTATCGCTACAACTTTCCATAGTTCATTGCGATAATTGCCAATAAACGTGTACAAGATACTGTATCTATGAAATATTTAATGAATGCGTACCGAAGTCGTCCAATACGAGGCCAAACAAAAAACACTATCCAAACTGGTTTACAAGTGACATGAAAATTATGTTGAAAGAAAAAGAAAAACATAGAAGTTTAAGAAAAATATCTGAAAAGTATAAGAAAATGTACTTAGAAATAAGAAAAAAAGTTAAAACTAGTATAAGGGAGAGTCATAAGAAGTATTTAACTGAAACCGAAATTAATATTACGTCAGATGTACAGCACCTATACAGCACCAAAATCAGTCTATAATATGAAATTCACGGAAAGTCATATCACAAACGATATATTTCAGTTGAACTAAATTGACGAACAGTATTTTCGATTAGCAGTAAAAAAGCATGTTCTGAATGGTTGGAATATCTACTTCTATTTATCTAGCGATTAAAAACGAAGAGTTTTCATTGATTTGGAAGTCAGCCATATGTGTACCCATTTACAAATCCGGGGACAAAAAAGATATCACTAATTATATGGGAATTTCCATAATATGCGCACCGGCAACATAACAAAATTTATTTTCATGCTCAAAATACTATTGACGAGTGGGAACATGGTTTTGTTAATAAGAAATCTATAAATACAAATTTATTCCTATTCACCAATGATGTTTACAAAACTTTTGAGAATGAACAGCAACTTGATACGTTTTTTACAAATTTCTCGAAAGCTTTCGATAAAGTTATTCATGACATATTTCTTTCAAAACTCAACAAATTTGGTATCAACCATGGTTTAATCAATAATCACCTCCAGAGTCGTAATTTTGTAGTCAGATATAATGGTATTTACTCTGATCCCTTTGAAATCAACTCGAGTGTCCCACAGGGATCAAACTTGGGGTCTTTGCTGTTTGTTTTATTTATCAATGATCTAACATCATGTTTACATTTTTCTAAAGGGCTTCTTTTTGCAGATATTTCAAATGCTTTAAAGAAATTCAAACCATGAGAGATTGTGTTGCACTAATATTGATAAATGTAATATCGTTACCTTTTCTTAAATTTAATTACAAAATTGGAGATACTTTCCTTAACAGAAAAATGAAGTGGAAGATTTTGGGATTATTTGTAATCACACTTTGTCATTCTCGAAACATTTTGAAGACATTTGTAAAAGGGCTAAGAAAATGTTGGGATTTGTTATAAAATCTAGCTATTCGTTTGTGAACGTATTCACGATAAAACATCTTTATATCACACTTGTAAGACCAATATTAGAATTTGATTCGCTCATTTGGAAATCCCAACCACAGATGCATTCAAACAGAATTTAAACAGCATTTCAAAATATCATCTCTTTATATTAGACGGAATGTAACATAAATAATGTTTTTATGAGGTGAAAAACAATAATATTACAGATATATACATACTCGAACTCATAGATTTTAATGTTCCTCAGTATCCTAGGAGAAGTCCAATCCTTTTCAAACTACCCAAGGCAAGTAAAAAAATAACTGCTCTGAGTCCTCTCTCAACCATGCTTCGTGAAGCAAATAAAATTAATGTTTTAAAAAATTTTGATTTCAGTAATTCCTTCTCAAGTTTCAGATATGATGTTATTAATCATTTATTAGAAATATAACTGTGATCGTAGAGAATAAGTTTGAAAATAAATCTTCCATTGTATATGTATGTATAGAAGTAAGCTCACACAATTAATTTGTAATAAGAATTTCCATGTAATTAGGCTGTTAAGTCAGTATGGAAAATAAAATAAAATAGAATGAAGTAAAATAAAATAAAAATAAAATCCAAATTTCCAAAAATGTTTTCCACAATAATCTTCGAAAAATATGCTCACTGTATTTTTTCCCAACTCTTATTATATATTCTCAAATTATTATTCAAAAAGTAATAAAGATGACCTCTTCATCATCTCTATCAAATTTACCACAAATAATCAGATGAACAATTTTGTTTTTCCAGAGGAAGCGGAACCCACGAGTAAGTCTTAAATAAATATCCCGCTTCTTATAACGCTCTGTATATAGTAAATCCTTACGGTATTTAACATTACTCGCAAAAGCCCTGGCACAGTCACTCACACTTAACACAAACTTACAATCTGAATATTGTCAACCTACTCAACGTTATTTTCAATCTACAGCTGAACGTCCGAAGTTCATCACTGGACTCAGTGACGATCAAGTTGAGCACAAACAGGAAGTGGCTCTGATGGTGCGAGCAGACGGTCTACCGAAACCGGAAATACGTTGGTCTCTCAACGGTAAACCTATAACTGAAGATGCAAATCACAAGATCGAAACTGTGACGGAGACTCAAGTGACCAGCAAATTGACAGTCATTGGTTTCGATGAAGGTTTTGCAGGCTTTGTAAGTATTTTTTCGCTCTGTTCATTGAGTGTTTGATTGGTGTTTATATTCCAATGTGAAAAATTCAATGTTACCACTTCTACCTAGTGTTTTTCCTATCTTGATTTTTATACGGCTTCAAAAGTAAAAGTACACTATAATCCACATTGTGTCTGCCATACCAAATGATAATTTCAATTTGACTTGAGTTGAGTTACTGAATAAACTTATCTGTCTGATCCAGGTAGCCTGTCCGATCTATCTGGTCTTCCTATTCCTTCTGGTCTGTCTGGTCTATCTAATCTGTACATTTTATTTGATCTATCTGGTCTGTCTGATCTGATGGTCTCTCGAGTTTGTCATGGATGTGTAATCTGTAGGGTCTATCTCATCTTCTTGGTATTCTTCATTCTTCCTTCCCTTCTAATCTGCCTGATGATCTACTTGATATGGCCTATATGACTTTCTTTTTCTAACTGCCCTGTTTATCGGATCTGACAGGCCTGCCTGGTTCATTTGATCTGATCTACCAGGTCTGTCCGACCTTTTTCTCTAGATTAACTGGTGTGTATTCTGTGGAACCTATCTGGTATGACCGGCTTATTACCGGTCTTATCTGATCTGCCTATCCTAGTTGTCCAATCTTTATGGTCTATATGATGTTTCTAGTCTTCCCAATCCCTCAGGTCTAACTCATATATCGGATCTGTTCGATTAATGGCTACCGGCCAGGTTATGGAAACTCAATTGAGTTTCATTAAAATTATGAATGCTTTCTGTATTTATTCCTCATTCCCAGTACAAAGCTGTCGCTGTGAATATTGTGGGCGAAGCTGAAACTTCATCAAAAGTCTCAATGTTGCAAACTCCGCCATCTTTCGGTAAGAAGTTGGACAGAAATGTTGACGTTAATGAAGGAGAACCCTTGGAGCTGAAGGCCAAAATCAACGGAAGTCCAAAACCAATCGTAAGATTAATATAATCTTGCGGATCAAAGTGCTTACAAGTTTACAACTTTCAGGTTTCTTGGTTCAAAAATGGAGAACCGCTTCTGGAAGAGGACAACATCAAAACGACAATCTTACCGGATGGAACAGTCAAACTCAACATCGATAAGTGTAAGCCCTCTGACAGCGGTGCGTATAAATTAGTCGTCATGAATTCCAATGGAGAAACTGCGTGCCTTTGTGCTGTCGCAGTTACCCGTAAGTAACCGTATCATAACCTCAAAAAACTATCAACGTTGCAAAAAAAGAACGATTCAAAATATATCTTCACTGTTACAGAAAAACCTCAGAGGCCCAAATTCGTCAAATGTTTCAAGGACGTCAAGGTACCATTGGGCGAGTCTCTGCGTCTCGACGCCAAAGTGGAGGCTTACCCGCCTCCGGAAATCAAATGGTTCAAAGATGGCGTCCCAGTACGTGCTTCCTCCAACGTTCACTTTGAAAATCATCCGGACGGCAGGGTGGCTCTGGTGGTGGACGTGATGAAGCCGGAGTCTGCTGGTAACTACCAAGTGCAAGTGACGAACAAACTTGGAGAAGCTACAGGCGATGCTAAAGTGGGAGTAGAGAAGAGGCCGACGAAGCCAGAATTTATCCAGAGACTGCAGCCACAGACCGTCGTGGAAGGCTTCCCGGTTAAGTTTGAGGTCAAGGCCGAAGGTTTTCCTGCTCCTAAGATCACTTGGTGAGTTTGTTGTGGACTGTCTGCCCAATGTAAACTTTCACATGCGTTCGAGAGCTATATTTCGTATTTTTTAGCCTCAGTCTAAAGATTTTTTCAGCTTTGGTGACACTGTAATCTAATGTTTCTTCCACTTTTCTATGAATTTGAGTGTGAGTTTGTTTTTGAATCGCAATCTTTAATTGTCAGGTTGATGACTAATTGGTAAACTGATGATTTCTCAGAATACGTATTATTCATTTATTCATTCTGTACTCTGGAAAACTGAATATGTGTAACATATTCTTGAATCTAGTTGGTAACTAGTTTCCTTTCCTCTCTTCACTTCATCGATTTAGCGCGAGTTGACCTTTTACAGGGAGTTGACCGTTTTTAATAATAATAATAGGCAGAAATCTTAGCCGCACAGATGCAGAAGGCTGTCATTTTTGGCTCACTGCGCTTGCTCAGGGCACATGATTCTTGGACCCAATAATCACTTACCCCACGGTGTGAAGAGTGGTTGATAATGCTGGCGCGCCCTCCAGAATGTATCGGGGCTTCGGGGGATAGGGCCTGACCAGCGCACACTATGGTTGAAAAAGAATCTTTATTAATCTCAAGAAACAAGAATGTTTATAACAGGGATAAAATTCAAAATAATTATTAAATGAAAAATTTCAATATTAAATATCAGTTAAATATACAGCACATAAATACAAACATATTTACATATACACAGACATACATATATAAATACATAAATTTTTAAATTATAATGGTAATTAAAAACAAAAAAATATAATATGAAGATCAGAATTGTAATTAAAGGAAGAAAGCAGAAACTTTTTCAATTCCGATTGGAATTTTGTTTTTTGATTCATTTTTAGTTTCTCTGGAAGATTAATATATATTTTAACTCCTAAATGAAATATAGATTTCTCTCCAAATTTTGAGTGATATGTTAACTAGTAGTTTTTTTGCTTGTCTTGTATTATAGTCATGGATGGTATATATTTGATTGAATTCCAAATTCGAATGTTTGTGATTTTTTTCAATAGAATGGAAATTAGACTGGAAAATAGACTGAATATCTAAAAGATCACATGGTATATATAAATTTGACGTATGTTCAAGATATGGTAATTTAAATATACATTTTATTATCTTATTTTGCAGTCTCTTGAGAGGATTTATTATTCATGAATTAGCTGTTCCCCAAATTGAAATCAAATATTGTAGATTATAATATACCAAACAAAAATATATACATTTGAGATATTTTAATCAAAAAAAATGTCTAATCCTAAATAATATTTCTAAAATTGGTCCGATTTTCATTTTTAACATCTCAATATTAGTATTCCAACAAAGAATTTTATCAATGTATAGTCCTAAAAATTTTGTGTTTTGACAATCTTCAATCGTATTGTTGTTAACAGCCAAATTCTCTTTGTTCGTGATTTTGTTCTTAGTTATCAACATTAAAGAAAACTTTTCATAATTCAAACTCAATTTATGATAATTTAACCAAGAGGTTAGCAATATAATGTCATTTTTCATGTTATTGTAAACTTCTTTAGTATCACTATAAAAATAAAGCAATGTTGTGTCATCCGCGTATAACTTGATATTTCCTTCCAAAAATGATTTTGAAATAGAATTTATGTAAATCAAAAATAAAACTGAGACCAAAATAGACCCTTGTGGAACACCACATGTGATAGTTTTCAATGAACTGGTATTTTTCCTTAGACACACATGCACTGCCTCTTTGGAGGTGGTCAAGGAAATGTACGTATAGATACTCCATCAGTTTTTTCAACAAGATCAATAGCTTTCAAAAATATTTTTGATATTGGATATCCTTGGCTAAAAAACAACTTCTAATCAACAGAAAAGCCCCCAAAAAGATGGAACCTCCAGGTTTCCATATGTTTGCGTATCTCCATGATAGCTTAGCTGAATGCGTCGTTGGAAAACATATATGAAGCTTCTTTAAACTTCCTCTTGAATCAGTGTTTCACTCTGTGGATGATCTCAGCTTGGAACCACTTAATGTTACGTTAATGAATCGAAATAGGCTCTGATATTTCCGATTTGCTGGTTTCTCCTCGCTGTATATGTTTCTCTTGTGCCCGGAAATGCCGACTTTCAATAGCCTCTCAGTTTCACCGATATAGGATTTGCCGCAGTCACAGGGTATCCGATAAATGAAATTATTGGAAACGCAGTCCGTGTTTGGTAGCTTGCAACGGATGGTGTTCTGATGTTGTACTTGGACCCATTTCTTCTTATTTTTTTCGACAATCCTCTGATGTAGGAAAAGGCAAGCGCTAGTTGTGACGGCTTCTCTTCCTTGTGAGGCTCTTGGATTGATGGTGAATGGATTCGTGATTCAGATACTGTCCTCCTCCATTGTGAAGGTGATGGAAGGTTTTGCGCTGTTGATGTGATGTGGTATGATAATATTGAAATTTTGTTAGGGCAGCATTTTTGGGATTAGGTGGAAGAACAGTTCAGTGAAGATCTTATCTGCCAATGAATTGGACTCCGCCTGTTTCTTATGAATGAGTATGATTGTCAAAAACAAAAATATGAGAATCTGTAATTTGGGAAATGAAATCGATTACTATTATTATTATATCTGTCGTAGTAATAACCAGAAAAGTAGTTGTTCTCTACCAGACATTCGCCAAATCCTATTATGTAAGAATGTCGAATATACGTTACTTCAGCGAGACAGACGTCCTAACACACCAGCCAGGTTGCCTGCCAGCTCGCTAGGCATACAGACCACCCAGTCAACCAAATTGTCACGTGGTGTCCTGTCGCCTAGCAGTGAACCAATCAGAGTGTACCAAATTGTCACACGCTTTCGCATCTCAGAACATCGTGGCGGGAGATTTGAATTTTTGTGGACATAAATAATTCAAACAGATGACCAAGCGTATTCCTCAACGAGACAGACTGCCCAGTCACGTGGCGCGTATTTCAAATATTGTTAATATTTTAGTTTTGCAGAAAAGTGGCCTACACGAGTCACGCATATTCAATTTGAATATTATTCTCAAAACTCTTTTCTGCATAACGAATATACTCTGCATCAAAATCTGGCTGCCTGCGCCCCAGAAAGGAGTTCCATACTGGAGATGACTCTTCATAAGTGAATAGTATGCATTTATTGCTGCTGAAAATCCGAGTTCACGAGATATGACATTTATGGCAAAGCAACCAAAAGATAATTTCTTTTTTAAAAGAAGGAGTGAATACTTAGACTTTATAATGAAAATAATAATTTTCTCAGCACTATACTTTAATCATACTTCACAATTAGTGCACTTACTACCATTACTTACTGATGGTTTATCACTTTTACTGGTAGCTCTCGAAATCTGTCAATCTACGTTATCAGCGACTGCTAGCATTTGAATATAACAATGGAACTCTCACGATCATTCTTCGAACTGTTCTTTCCAACAATGTTAGTGAAGGTCTTGTCAATTCATGAGGACTTGCTGCAGCTTTCCCATCGTTACCATTCAAATTACAGGTGCAGAAACGGCGCCGAAGTTATCTCGGACAACAAACACATCAAAGTGTCCGAACAACCAGACGGCACCAGCGCCCTTCTTCTCGACGCCGCCGACGCCGTACGAGACGCATTGACATACAAGGCCATCGCAAGCAACGAAGCAGGGGAGGTCGACACATCCGCGCTCCTGACGGTGAAATCCGCTTCCAAATCAAGCGAGCCCGAAGAACGGCCGATGTTCCTGCATTCCATCAGAGATACTATAACCGACGAGGGTCAGCCTCTCATACTGGAAGCTCCTTTCACAGGGAATCCCATACCGACAGCAGAATGGACCAAGGATGGACAGCCAATCGCTCCGTCTGATAGGATTTTGATGACGTGCGACGGAAGAAGGGTATGAGAAATTCAAGGAAATATTTCCATTATTTTCTAATGAGAACCTGCTCGTTTCAGATTGGTTTGAAAATCGACAAATCCATCCCATCCGATGCTGGAGTTTACGGAGTCAAAATTATCAACCCTCTCGGAGAGGAGTCCACTCAAGGCAAAGCTACTGTTCGAAAAGTTTTTATGGCGCCATCCTTCACACAGAGGTTCACCGATCTACAGCAGGTGAGTGTTGTCTTTTGCCTTTTTTCGAAACAGTTGAAGTACAACTCAAACTGTTCTGGTTTTCATTATAAAGAGCATTCTATGCTCAGCTCTTTTATATTATGTGATGTCGTTTGTTCATAACCTTGGTCTAGTCGTATCCCAGTAAATTGATGTATTGGTGTAATTATATCAGGTAACTTGAGACGCTCTCCATAGCAATCAATTTTGGCGGCACAGCAGCAATAGAGACAACCTTCACTATCTGATCTGTTATTTTCAGGTCAAGAAAAGAAATGCATTTTTCCTTGCTTTGAATTCTCTTTGGATCTGACACATGAATGAATCAAACAATGAATCTCTTTTGACTTTCATCCAACATAACTGTCATGCATCAGATGTTGGTACTTACTAATAACCAACTCTTCCTTCCTCCCTTCCTTCCTTCTGCTAGGAGCTAACTGAGAAAAATATATTTTATTAGAAACTGTCTCCCAGATCAGCGAGACTTTGCAATCTCTCTTCAATCCACATTCTTTCAAATACTCAATGGCATATTCAGTTCGCCGTTATAATGTTACTGATACTGATCACCCATTCAAATTCAGGGATTCAATTTCTCACTTTCGATTCTCAAATTGAAACAAAAGTTATTGGAAGGTCTTATATTGAGTTTGTACTTTATACTCCCACATAGCAATAGATATTCCAGGTATATTTCATGAATATACATTTAAGGATATTGTATTATGCTATGAATATGCCATGGATATATATATCTTCTGGAGAATATTCCCTGGAAGTGCTCCTGGCGAACCTTTGATATATTTTAAGAATATTCCTTGGGAATATTCTTGGAATATCTTATAATATTCTTAGAATATCTAAGGTATATTCTATTAAGAATATTCCAGGAATAGAACCCGAGGAATATTCATAAAATATTCAGGATATTCTTAGTTTATTGTAGGAATATACAATAGAGAAACACCATAGAATATTCTTTAAATATATTTTATGAATATTCTAGGAATATTTGGAATATTCCAAGAATGTGACGAGTAACCGCTATTAGGCATGTATATATTGCATTTTGATACAAG